AAGCTTATGCGTAAATTTCGGATATTTATTGGTCGCAGCCTTATACGGGTGACAAAGGGGCTCGCTTATCTGCATAAGTAGCCCTTATTTGCATTAACTCATACATTTTCTTATTTCAAACAAATGCACGAAATTTTTGGGAATTAACTCGGATCAGGGGAATTTTCGATGACAACACTGATAACAACGGCCTTTTGTACAAGCAAGCAAACGAAGCAAACGAGCTTGGCGTTCGCGGTAGCCGAGTGGTGAGAAATGTGTGCTACAAGTCTGTAGGTGCCAGGTTCGATCCTCAGTTGGAGCGATTGCCAAAATTTTTTTTTCGTTTTTATTACATTTATTTTAAATATTTGATTTAATTTTACTTTATTTTATTTTCATTTGTTTTATTTTAAATCACATTTTTTATTTTACTAAAAGTTATTTTAAATTTTCCGAGTTTAATTTTATTAAAAAAGTCAACAACTAACTGAAAAAAAATTTAAAAAAAAATAGAACTAATAAATGACTGAATAAAAAATAAATAAATTAACATTCTACTGGCCGTGGTACTCGAACCCACGATCTTGCGGCTCGTAAATCCGCATTACTGCCCTGTCAAGGCATAATTTTAACCAAATCAGCGCTGTTAGTCCGGATCAACGATGTCGTCCGCCTATGCTTCTACATTCGCCTGTTATTAGATGCTCAAGAGTTGTCCCGCTTCACTTTGGCGCCTTAGCGATTTTGGCCTTTAGCCTTTCATTCAGCAATACTCGATCCAGGCAGGGGCCTTTTCGTCCTGTACAGTGCCATTATTGGGGCTTCTTCCACAGATGGTAGTTGCTTATTGCCCTTCGTTCTTCCACACGATTTGGTGTCGACATCTGGAATTACTATCAATGCATACCGACGGTACTCTTGTACTCTTGGAGGGTGGCTCTGGTGGAGTACTTAGCCATCCATAGGTAACCAACCAGACCAGTATCCATTCGCAACAAGCTCATCAGACGGAGTTTGCTATGTGAGGAGGTTGTTCTTGTGGCATCTGCGCGTGTACCGTGGTCGCAAAGCTCAGTGGCGCCGTTAAAAAGGTTCAGGCTCCTATCGACCTTCTTTTGAAGAGAGCTGAACTACCGTTTTAGGGACGTTGAGGTTAAAGTTTTTCATTTTGTATTCACAATTAGTCCAATGAGTTTCAGAGAGGAGTGATCGTCCGCTCATCCATTCCATTATACCTAGGCAAGGACTATAGGCTCCATAGAGCGCCTAGTATCTGAAGCACTCCGTTCTCCATTTCAGCACTGAGGAAAAACTGCAGAGGCCTCTTCAGTCCAGCCAATTGAACAGATTATTTGGCAAAAATTCTACAACAACATAGAAGAAAACTCTGAATCCAACAGGCTACAAAAAGTTCTGTCGAAATATCCTTCAAGTATGAACTCTTTCCAGAAGCCTAACTATGAGCACTCACTTCGCGGGATGCACTGATGATACTTCTGATACATCGCCCGGTCCTTGCATCAAAATGCTCCTCAACTGATTTGTGAGTCCTTAGACACAAGGTCATTCCTAACAACTGCATAGCCTGCTAGCTGGCAAGGAAAGGGACGGAAATATCGTAACTCAATTCTGCTCTATACGCGGGATACCTTCAACCTACTGCAAACATGGTTTAAAGGCTAAAGTCAGCAAGGAGGTAAATACCGCTTGCCATACTTCGAGCAACATTTGGCTAAAAGTCGCGGCAAAGCGATCCCTGGATCTCATTCGCCTTGATTGCTCTTCTCACAGATTAGTATTCGAGATAATCACCTGACACTGTCCTATGAGCACGTACGGAAAGAGCTGGTGTTACCCAGCTGACGATTTTTATCGCAGCTGCAGATACGAGAACGAGGTGAAGAGTATCGAACATTATCTTTGCCACTGTCCCACTCTGGTCTGACGATTTTTATCGCAGCTGCAGAGACGAGAAAGAGAAGGAAGGTATCGAACATTATCTTTGCCACTGTCCCACTCTGGTCAAGACGCTAAACCATTTCTTCAACAAGTACATTCTAGATTGCTTCTGTCTCAATTGTGCTTTATAAAACACACTCGGTGGTGACATTTTTTAAGGGAGGGAAAGAAACAAATGCTTACACTAGTGGTACGGGGCTCTTACAGTGTGGTAGCCACTTAAACGTGACCTAACTTAACCAAACCTAATTTTCTAATTTTGATTTCTAAACTCGCATTAGGAAATAATGAATGGTAAATTGCCTGTGGCTCTCCATTGGCATTTGTGATGTTAATATATCTGCATACAAACATATGTATGTATAAGCAAAATGAGATCGAAATAACTATATATATAAAATGTTATCGATAGGCTAAACTGGTACATAAATGCAAAAATAAATTGGCTTAAAATCAACAAATACTACAAATATAGGTACACCAAAAATAAATCATTTTTAATATTCACGCAGGATTATAAATTCAAGCAAAGTAAACATAAATTTCAATGCAATTGCATATTCATAAGTAAATACGGAATACAAATAACAGTTATTTATTTATAAACAGAAAATTTCTGCATCCAAGAATGAGTTGGTGATTTAATAAGTTTGCTACCATGGCCGGGGAGTTTTTTTTTTGCCTGCTGTAGGAAAATTTTCACAAAAATGCTGCGAAATAAATGCGAGAATTATACAAAGGATAAATAAAACAAAATAAAATAGCACCCAAAACTCCATTAGACTAGGCCAGAAAGAGTCTTCTTCTTAGTAGAAAGCGCCTAATCGAGCCTTGGGTAGTACGGGAGTATGAATGACAAAATAGTAGTAAAACGCTCCTGTCGTAGTACTTTCGGCAGCACTGGNAAAGGGAGGGAAAGAAACAAATGCTTACACTAGTGGTACCGGGCTCTTACAGTGTGGTAGCCACTCAACTTAACCAAAGCTAATTTTCTAATTTTGATTTCTAAACTCGCATTAGGAAATAATGAATGGTAAATTGCCTGTGGCTTTCCATTGGCATTTGTGATGTTAATATATCTGCATACATACATACATATGTATGTATAAGCAAAATGAGATCGAAATAACTATATATATAAAATGTTATCGATAGGCTAAACTGGTAAATAAATGCAAAAATAAATTGGTTTAAAATCAACAAATACCACAAACATAGGTACACCAAAAATATATCATTTTTAATATTCACGCAGGATTATAAATTCAAGCAAAGTAAACATAAATTTTAATGCATGCAAATTGAATATGCATAAGTAGATACGGAATACAAATAACAGTTATTTATTTATAAACAGAAAAGTTGGTTGAATACATTACGCACCAGCGTTCAAGAATGAATTGGTGATTTAATAAGTTTGCTACCATGGCCGCGGGTGGCGTGCTGTAGGAAAATTTTCACAAAAATGCTGCGAAATAAATGCGAGAATTATACAAAGGATAAATAAAACAAAATAAAATAGCACCCATAACTCCATTAGACTAGGCCAGAAAGAGTCTTCTTCTTAGTAGAAAGCGCCTAATCGAGCCTTGGTTAGTACGGACAAAATAGTAGTAAAACGCTCCTGTCGTAGTACTTTCGGCAGCACTGGTTGGCACTACCACCGTTTGTCAGTTTGGACGGAGACCAAAAAGCTTCTCCATTGCCATTCTTCTAAGCGAATTTACGCCAGTTGCTCACTTGGTCCTTCCATCTTGTTCGTGGGCGCCCATGATGACAGATTTGAGTGATTTTTATCCGTCGAGAAACGGTTCTGACTTTCTATAACCTACCGAGCCCAAAATAGCATCTGTTGGCAAAAGTTATTCTTCGCTTAATCTACAGGCTGATGTTCTTGGTGGTGTTTATGCTGGATCCTTAATAGATAAAGTCGCATTGAGGTTCTTTCCAACTTGAACGGAGCTAAAGATTGTGATCAACGTCACTCTACATGGCCGTATTAGTTTCGAGTGGAATCGCTCCCGAGACAGTGCTGAAGTCGTTAACATCAGAGTTAAAGTTCTTATTCCCAGGGCTAAAGTTCNGAATTATACAAAGGATAAATAAAACAAAATAAAATAGCACCCATAACTCCATTAGACTAGGCCAGAAAGAGTCTTCTTCTTAGTAGAAAGCGCCTAATCGAGCCTTGGTTAGTACGGACAAAATAGTAGTAAAACGCTCCTGTCGTAGTACTTTCGGCAGCACTGGTTGGCACTACCACCGTTTGTCAGTTTGGACGGAGACCAAAAAGCTTCTCCATTGCCATTCTTCTAAGCGAATTTACGCCAGTTGCTCACTTGGTCCTTCCATTTTGTTCGTGGGCGCCCATGATGAGAGATTTGAGTGAGTTTTATCCGTCGAGAAACGGTTCTGACTTTCTATAGCCTACTGAGCCCAAAATAGCATCTGTTGGCAAAAGTTATTCTTCGCTTAATCTACAGGCTGATGTTCTTGGTGGTGTTTATGCTGGATCCTTAATAGACAAAGTCGCAGTGAGGTTATTTCCAACTTGAACGGAGCTAAAGATTGTGATCAACGTCACTCTACATGGCCGTATTAGTTTCGAGTTGAATCGCTCCCGAGACAGTGCTGAAGTCGTTAACATCAGAGTTAAAGTTCTTATTCCCAGGGCTAAAGTTCATTCCCTTCTGAATGGAATTATCGCTGATTTTGTTCCATATCCATACATCATTTACTGTTATCCTAAAATTGTATGTAAGTTGGTTCATTTGTAGCCTAAGTGGAAAGTTTAAACTATTAAAAAAAGGTGGTGAGGTTGAACAAAAGCCATTTGTAGATTGGCTATCACAAATTGATACCACCGTTTGGGCATTATTTCGTCGAGGTTTTAAAAACTATGCCTAAAAAAAGTTTTGATTACAATTCTAATATACACGCCCAGAACTCTGAAGTAATGATATGGCATGGGACGATTATTTACGAGCAACCCTAATAGTAGCGAACTAAGGTTCGTTGTTAGTTATTTAACAGCCATTACCATTACCGTTATATTGTTATTAAAATTTATCGTTACCATTGCAAATGCCATTACTATTGCCATTACCTTTATTTATTACCATTACAATTATTATTACAATTATCATTACTAATACCATTTCCATGACCATCACTATTACCGTTACCATTACCATTACAATTATCAATACCATTGCGATTTGCTTTATCGTTCCATCGTTACCATTACCATTACTATTACCACCACCATATACTTTATCATTACTATTAGCACTATCATTACCATTACCATTGTGATTTACTTTACCGCTACCATTACCATTACCCTTAAGATTACAATTACACTTAAGATTACCACTACCCTTAAGATTACCATTACCCTTACGATTACCATTACTCTTACCACTACCATAACCATTATCATTACCATTATCGCTACCATTATCATTACCATTACCACAACTGTATCCATAACCGTACTCATATCATAACCATTACCGTTACCATTACCATTTCCTTTACTATTATTAATATTTTATCTGTTTCCATCTGCAGCAAGATTTGTAATCTGAATTTATATCCATCGCTAGTTTGTGTACCAGTCCTTACTTATGTAGATCTTATTTTTTCATTTACTTACAGATGTCATTAGAATTTATGCAGAGTTTTGCCTCTTTGAAAAACCACATCGTCGCTTTACCCACAATGCAACTATGCAGAGCAGCATTGTTGATGATTAAATTGCATTCCAATAAATAGACGAAAGGAGCAAAAACTCTGCGGCTGAGAAAACTTTCTAGAATTAGACAACTAAAACCATAGCAAGGGACACTAATAAAAGAAAAGCAGAGCTACGGTTATAGGTAGCAGAAAAACATTGCAATTTACAATCAATATTGTGACAATCGCAATTTGTCAAATGCAGTGGCAGCAACAAAAACAGCAATCACAACGGCAAGCGTAGTGACAGGACAACATTTTAATTGAAAATCAACAGCAAATGCAACACAGCAGAAGCGGGAGCAAAAAAAAAAACAAAAACAAAAATAAGGGAAATTCAAGCTACAAAATCTTTCACGTTGCACGTCGCTTGCGACAGATTGAGGGCGCATAACTTGGCATTTTTTGTGAGCTGAGTAAATGCTCAGCATCATACACCACCGAGCAGAGTCCTGCAACGCATGACTCACCAATACAGTTACGGTGCTTTTATCAACTATTGTTGTTTTGGCTCAAGAGACCGCTGTGTGTGGCAGAGTAGCGGCCAATAACAGAAAACTACAACTACAACTATCACTATCAACTAACGTAACTGCATTGCACTGCTACAAGCTGTAACAGTGGCCCACCGCCACCACACCACACAACGGCCAGCGGCACTACGACCTCGATGGGTAAGACGTGCCCAACGCCGAGCCTGAATTCGAGTATCTCGAATTCTGTAATAACTACTGCGAGTAGCAACTACAATCAGAGTCACAGCAGTAACCATCATCACCAGCATAAGCATCAGCATCAGCAACAACAGCAACAACAGCAACAGCATCATTATACGGTGCCGTTGCCACCACCACCACCGCCGCAACCACTCCAATCGCAGCCACAACAACATTTTCCACAGAAATACATGAATTCGAAGCGTAAACATGCCAACAATTACCACAACATGCTGATGCATCCGGGTGCCCATTTGGATCACAACAATTACTTGCATTTAAATTCGTTGTGGTCCATTTGGTATGGCGTTTTGCTGACGCTATTCCAAGGCTATTTAGCCGTACATGGTGCCTATCGGTTCCTTGGTAAGTAACTTAATATACGTACGTACGTACACACATACATGCACACATGGTAGTAACATAACAATATTGTGATATATGTAGGTAGATATGATTTCATTTAAAATTTGGTAGTAATTAAGAATAGTATCATAAAGTGGAAGAGTGATAATCCCTACAGTGACTCGAAAAAGTGGTCCTATATTGATTTTTTTTAATATTCGCAATGTTTTTCAGATTAACCAAAATCTTTTACTTAAATCGAAGTCCAAACTTAGTAAAAAAATTAGCAAATTTCAACAAACTCTCATAAAAATTGTGAACTTTTTAATTCGAATTTCTGGATTATATTTGGATATGCTGTTTTTTAGCCCACACAATTTTAGTCTAATAAAGTGCAAGTTTTAAGAGGCCTTGATTTGTAATATTTTTTTTTGTTGGCGTATTTTTGCACTTTTTTCCATATTAAGGTGAATTTCTTATGCAATAAAATGCGCAAGACCGTTCGCTAAACAATTTCAAAAAATCAGCACCAGATTTTATAAATAACACTTGTTATATTTATATCCACTTATTCAAAAATGTTCAAAAGCTTCAAAATAAAATTGCGAAATTTGAAAATTTGTTGAATTTTTATACTAAATATAAAATTTTGAAACATTGATTTATGCGGGTTTGGTTAAAGCATGAACAAAATTATAAAAATAGCAAAAAAAGTTCTACTTTAAAAACAATTTAAAAAAATTCAACATATGAACACTTGTTTGNGAGGTGGTTCCATACTAATCTGGTTTAGATCCGATATATAAATATATATTTCTTTGTAAATTTTTTTTTGCTAAAAATTACTTGTTCCATATTAAGGTAAGTTTCTTATGCAATAAAATGCGCAAGACCGTTCTCAAACAACAATTTCAATTTCAAAAAATCAACACCAGCTTTTATAAATAACACTTGTTATATTTATATCCACTTATTCAAAAATGTTCAAAAGCTTCAAAATAAAATTGCTAAATTTGAAAATTTGATGAATTTTTCTACCAAATATTAAATTTTGAAACCTTGATTTATGCGGCATGAACAAAATTTTAAAAATAGCAAAAAAATTTCTACTTTAAAAACAATTTAAAAAAATTCAACATATGAACACTTGTTTGAGTCACTGTATGTTTACGTATGACATATGCATAACCGTACATGCATAATAGTATGTAAATTTTCGCTTACACAATATGTTAGTGTTTGGCCGAGCTTTTCCTCCGATTTGTGGCATGCGCCTTGATGTTGTCAGTTTTACGCCGACTCCGAACGGCGATTGTATTTTTATGAGAAACTGTTTTTCATAGCAGAATACACTCGGAGGTTTGTCGTTATTAGAAAAAACTTTTTTGTTTTTTTGATTTCGGTCGGAAACTGGGGTTCACCCAGGCCCACAATAAAATATATCATTTAACTTATCATTTAAATTGATTTTGGACAATTAAACTCTCTTAAAAAGCATTTTAGAAATAAACCCATAATAAGCTACTTAATTGAACTTGTCGATTAAATTGATTTAGAATTAAAAAAAATGGCAATAGTTCGATTAACTTATTACTTAATTGCTTTTAATTTTATTTGAACAGGTGGCAATCTTCTTGAAACAATATGGGAGAAATAAAGCTTTCTGCAACCCCTTTCTTATGATACTCATACAAAAATATTGCGCTTAACTCGATAATTAAGTAGATTTTAAAATTTCTAAAGAGGTGGCAACCCTATTCAATAATATTTTAAAAGTAAAGCCTTTTAGCATTCTATAAAAATATTTCGCATAATTTGCCTATTAATTGATTTTGAATTTCTAAACAGGTGGTAACCTCGTCACAAATATTTTCGAAATACAGCTCTTTTTAACATCTCGCATTTGATACGCATTTTTAAATATTTCATATCACTTGCGAATTAAAATGATGTTTACTACTTTTTGAACAGGTGGCCACCCTATGCAAAAATACTTTCTAAATAAATCGCTTTTGAATAGCGTTTGTTCGGCACCCACATTATTTAGCTTAATACTAACTTTTGTGTACGCCGAATTTCCTTGAAACACGTGCAGCCGTTTTAGCGTGAAAGCGCAACAAGCATACCCACCAACTCACTCAAACTTTCACATTTTTAATATTAGTAGGATTTATATAAAAGTAGTTAGGATTTGTAGAAGAAAAATTATAAATCTTTTTTTTTTTNTTTTTAGCATTCTATAAAAATATTTCGCATAATTTGCCTATTAATTGATTTTGAATTTCTAAACAGGTGGCAACCTCGTCACAAATATTTCCGAAATACAGCTCTTTTTAACATCTCGCATTTGATACGCATTTTTAAATATTTCATTTCACTTGCGAATTAAAATGATGTTTACTACTTTTTGAACAGGTGGCCACCCTATGCGAAAAAATTTTCTAAATAAATCGCTTTTGAACCGCTTTTGTTTGGCACCCATATTATTGAAATATTTTATTTAGCTTAATACTTAACTTTTATTTTAACTTTTGTGTACGCCGAATTTCTTTGAAACACGTGCAGCCGTTTTAGCGTGAAAGCGCAACAAGCATACGCACCAACTCACTCAAACTTTCACATTTTTAATATTAGTAGGACTTGTATAAAAGTAGTTAGGATTTGTAGAAGAAAAATTATAAAATTTTATTTGTTGTTAAATTTTTTTGTAGTGCGTTTTTATTCCAATTGCTGGGAATCTCATGCCACCAACCCACGCACTAAAAAATTATTGACTTGTCAACCATGCTAGCTTGTTAGAGCTTAATTATCTCAAAATGACAAGGCAACAAATTACATTTGTTCANGCGTTTTTATTCCAATTGCTGGGAATCTCAATATTTTATTACAGCGCTTACATGCGAGTATCTCTCTGCCACCAACCCACGCACTAAAAAATTATTGACTTGTCAACCATGCTAGCTTGTTAGAGCTTAATTATCTCAAAATGACAAGGCAACAAATTACATTTGTTCAAGAAAAAATTTTCTAATAAAAAAAACGAACTAAAAAAGCCCTACACATAATTAGTATATATTCCATGTAAACTCATTTATGTAACAGTGATTTTTTTATTTTCTTTTTTTCCATATCTATGATGTTTTCCTGCTATTATATGTGTAACATCGCCATTACTATCACATCGCGCTGTCACCAACTCCCTTAACAACTCCCTTTCGCCAGGCTGCTCGCTGATATCGTGGAAAATCGAGCCGGTAGCTGAATTGAATCTACAAATTGTGCTTTCCGGTGTAGTCTTCATTTTGCTGCCGTTTTTCTTTACTTCAGCTGTTTTTAAGGTGAGTAATATTTCACTATTTTTTTTCTTTATATCAAGCAATGAGAATTTTATAAAATAAAAAAGATGCGGCATTTTACGTGTTTTATCTGCTATGCTGCTTATGTGGTTGCTTTGCTGCATGCAATCTTTTTCCACATTTTTTTGTTACATATGATGTGCATATACATATGTATTATTTTAAGTTATGTCGGTTTTTGTGTTCAACTAGCTGCTGCAGCATTAATATTCCGTAACAGGTAGAATTGTGCGTAAATATTTACTGAATACTGCGTTCATTTATGCTCTGAATTTTTCAAGCAAACGAAAGCATTAATTTCTTCAGCGCGGACCATAAGGATATCTATAACAAACTTTCTTAGCCTATCGCAGTAAGTTCTTGGATCAATCCTACATTTTATTCAGGTTCTTCAACTACATTTTGCTTCCCAGGAGTATTACTTTAGAATTGGGGAGCCACTCGTGCAGAACGTATTGAATTAATTTGCCTATAACTTCTGTAAACTATATACACAATGATTCAGAAGCACCTTATTAATCTTGCCACTTGGGGTACTGGAAGCCCAGAAAGGTTTCTAATGTCCATTTTCGGAGTTGTGTCTCTCGGGCTATACTCCTTTGTTGGCCAGTTAAGGCTGTTTACAACAAAGGGGTGCTTTGAATAAATCATACCTTTCAGTTCAGTCATGGCCGGAAATTTTATAGAGAGTGTTCGACGCTCTAAATTTTTCGATTACTGTGATAATAGTCATCCGACGTAAAGCCAATTTTGTGGCAGTGTGCCTCATATAAGGCACCAGTAATAATTCCACTATATTTCGAAGTTGGTTAAGTTAAGTTTATATCCACAGCTCATCTTTTATTTCCAGTAACGCGAAAGTTTTCCTTAAAGTATAATTTTCATACCTTGCCTCTAAAGCAAGTTGTTGCACATACGTACTATCACTCGGCAGACCCACCCTTGGTCCGCGACCGATTCAAAAAATATAGAAAATGCGCTCGAC